CCCCCCCCCCCCCCCCCCCCCCAGACCTTTTTCGGGGAAGACCCGGCGGGCCCCCCCCCCCCTTTTTTGGGGGGGGGGGGCAATGTTTCTTACCCCCCCGACCCCCCGCCTTTGGGGTCCCCCCCCCCCCCCCCCCCCCCCCTTGGGGGCGAGAACCTCTTGCCGATGATCTGCGCTTGGCGAACAAATGTCATCCCAATGGTGCAGCCCATCTCGCCACATCTGTGAGAGAGATGAGCGGCCAAGCTCCTACTGTCAACTCAACCTACCCGTGAACATGTCAAGTGTTTACAGGCTTGTGCCTGTTGGCGCATGGATGCACGGCGGTGTCCTGCAATATCGTGCAACGAAAGGATTAATGGGTATGCCCCCCCCCCCCTCCCCCTCCGCACAGGCGGTTAGCTGCAAGCCGGCCAGGCTCGATATCCCCGCGCACGGCACGGCCGAGATGAAGGTCGAGTACGTGCCGCGCAAGATCAACTACAAGTACCGGAAGACGGTGACGGTGATGAACGCCCACAACCCCCACGGCCACGCGGACGTGGAGATCGCAGCGAGCAACACGGACACCCACCACGTGCTCTACCACTCGCACTTTTACAAGGTGAGTCGTCGAGTTGGACCGCCGCTTCGCGAGTTTTTTATTTTTATTTTTTTATCTATGATATGGAGAGGGGGGTCGTAGACCTTCCCCGAACCTCCTACTAACTCCAAGATTAGTATCCAAGGGGAGTATCCAAGATTAGTATCCTACTGGTCGAGTTCCACGCGCGTTTCTGCTGGGGGGGGGTACTCATAGTCGTGCATGCCGTAGTCGTCAGAATGTTGATCTCGCATCCCTACAAAGTCGGGACGGAGCACGCCGGGTTCTCACCGGACCAGGCTCTCACATCAGCAAGCGCGATGCGCCGTGAGGTATTCGGCGAGTCGCATGAAGGGTGCGCTGCATCCTGCAAAGGGTGTTCGGCATCTTGTGCTTACTTCCTTGCGTACGGATGACAGCTGCGTATGGCTTGAGTTGTTTACTGGTGCTTTCACTTCCAGAGACAGTTTTAAGCACTGTGACTCTGTTTCGAGGGCGCTTGACCAATTTAACACAACGTGGTGGGATTATCCCCTTTGCGCGGAGTGAGGACTTTCGACCCCGCACAACATGATCTACTCGACCACCATTCATGGTGACCGCAAAAACATAAAACCCAAAGGCAAAAAACAAAGCGGTAACCTGGTTGCCGAGCTCACGAAGTGGTCGGCTTGTTTTACAACATCGCCGCCAAGCGACGAAAACCCAACCCCGATGGCGAACACCGGGGGGGGCGGGGGGGGGTCGTTCCTGTGTCCGTGTCTTGTGCACATGTGTGCTACGGCGGTGTATTGCAAGTCGTTGTTCCAGCTATGTATTATCATTAGTTGAGGTGGTGCAGAGAACGGCGATAGTAAATAGTGGTCCCTGTATACTGTAAAGCCGCGCGAGTACGGCCGGTCGCCCTGTAATAAGGCCGGTGAAATCGGGTGGTGGTGACACGAAAGATGGGAACATTCAAGTTTGTCTTGTCCTGCCGGGGGTGCCCCGTAATGTGGCCGGCCAAATCACGCTGCGCCCGTTTGGACGGCCAACTACTCTGCGCCCTTATAGGGATCACTATTTACTACTGAAGAGGGGAGAGCGCCGAGGTCATCTCTCGCGTCGTGCACACGACCTTCTTTTGGCGTGTTTTTTTGTTTTTGTTTGTTTCCACAGGTGTTCGTCAAGAACCGCATGCGGCAGCAGCAGGTGTACTTCAACCACACCGTGACCGGATGCCCGGAGCTGCGCACCTTCGACGTCCAGAATGTGTGGAACCTCCCGCTGCTGTTCGAGATAGGGGCCGACACCCCCGAGATTCAGGTGCAGGGTGTGTTGGCAAGTGTGTGTGGGTTTCAATGAAAAAAGGCACCGACCGACCATATCATGTGACAGCAGGTGGAGAAGGAAAGGAACAAACGGTTCCTGTCCGCGGGGACCCCCGAGAGGGAGGCCGCGCAGACTGGACCATATGCTAGCAACAAGGGGTTCCTGTCCGCGGGGACCCCGAGAGGGAGGTCGCGGAGATTGGACTGTACAGTATTTAGACTAAATGGAGAGTTTATCCTATGGGTAGAGATGGGTTCGTCGTGCTGTAATTAAGAACAAAATAACAAGAAGTTCCTGTCCGATAGTTCCCCCCAGAGGGAGGCCGCGCAGACTGTGTACATACAAGGGTACCGCCTCCGTTCGTTGCCAATAGAGCGTGTGTCAAATAGCTGCTGTCGGTAAATGTCATCGATGGAACTTTAAAGACCCTCGAACGTCCTCGCCGGCCCTCCTATACATGGTGTACTAGCCGCTGCCCCTGCTGCTTGGGTAGCGTGCATGGCGGACATGGCGGAGGCCCGTCTGCAGTACAGAGCAGTGCTGCCGTGAGAGAGAGACGGCGTCAGAAGACTGTATCAAGTATTTTTCTCCCGACCCTCAGTCGTAACGTAGTCGATTTTGCTGCTCTGTTGTGTCCCTCTACACGTCATGCTGTTACACCGATGAACATAATCGATCCAGCTGCACAATAGCTATTGTATCCCCCGACATGTGTCATGTCTGCTACCCATGATATCGCCTTTCCCTTCCCAACCAAGGCAGTCTCGTCTTACATTGCTTCCGTTTTCTCTTTCTCTTTCTCTCTGTCTCACTCTCCCTCTTCCGCTGTACATCTCTCATTCTCTCTCTCCTCCTTTGTGTGTCGGTTGATATGGTGTGTTGATCCGAAAAGAAACAACTCCTTTCCCGGGGGAGCCAATCAACGTACCCCCCCCTCCCCCGCCTCGCCCGCCCTGTGTAACCGTCCAGCTGTACGAGATGGTTGGCGTTTCCCTGCCGTACGCGGGTAAGGCGGTGGTGTCAGGGGTCTCGAGACACGCCGGTCCTAGAAGTCGCGGCAGCAGCGACGGCCGCGGCAGAGCGGCGCCGTCGACCGCCTCGGGACGCGATCACTTCATGAAAGCGCTGGCCTGGGATGGCCCGGCCGAAGACGCGCGAGAGCGAGGTCGCTACGCTAGGTGTGTGTGTTTGCGCGTCCCGCAAGGTTGGTGTTGGCCGATGTAAAAAGGCTTGAGTCGCCTTTGTGTGTGCGTATCCTGCAAGATTGAGACGGCCTCGACCTGCCTTTTTACCGGTTGCCCCTCCCAACGACAGATAGCTTGAGCCATTGTTATGGTAGGAGATGGGTACCGCTGCGCTCCGGTAGGATACGCATTTGTAGCAACCCCGGCGGTCAAGCTCCGGCGATCGTCACATGGAAGTTTTTCTTGCTGGCGAGAGGGTCGCTCCGTGCATTCTTGCGTTCCGTCGTGCGGTGCCGCGTGAACCTCCTAGATATAGCTGTTGTCTGCACATTTAATACATTATCGTTCCCGGCCTCTATTGATGTTGAAGGGGTTGTATCCAAGTCTAAGTCTTATCCGTGTACAAGGAGGAAAACAACCCCCCAGGTACCCCCCATACTGTAGCTCGGAGATACGCCGTCCCCCTCCCCCCCACTCCACGGCTGACTTGGAGCGAGCGCCCATTTTTTTTCTTTTTTTGTTCTCTTTGGAGTGTTTTTGTTTTGTTTGTGGCGTCTTTCCCCCACAACTCCTCATCCATACTTCCTCATCTCCCCACATACCCCAAACCCTCACCCCGTTATGGGCGGTGCCGTCTGCCCCCCCCCCCCCCTGAGATTCTGATCGAGGTGGTATGCGGC